GCCCTCACGGGCGGGGGCCGTGTCCTCCTCGTCTCCTTTGTGCGTGGGGAGGGTGGCGCAAGTCCGCCGTGTCGCTTGCCGTCAGTCCTCGGGGAGAGGCCCAGGCGCAGTGTAGCCGCCTGGCGGCCTAGGCCCCGGCCTGTCTGAGGCGAGCTGTTAAAAGCCAAAAGGGTAATAACAGGAGGAGGAGACGTAATTAACGCTCAGTGAGTAGCACCTAGCGGGAGAAGGAAGTTATGGGATCCTTCACGGGGTGCAGGCCGCCTGAACGACATGGACGTCGTGGTTGGACTCGATGATCTAAATGGTCCCTCCCAACCCAGAGGAGTCAGTGACATGGCCGGTTTGGGGAGAGGTTATTTTTGGTGTGGGCAGGAAGCGAGCCAGAGTGCTGGACTGGGGTGAGGAAAAGATGACGCGCAACGGGGAGATAAGTACCCTGGTGGCAGGGGGAAAGGAGGCGGAGGAAGAATTGTTTCAAAAGTAGTGCTCCTGAAAATGGTCTCGTGTGGGACATTAACAACTAAATTAGGCAGAACACTAGTGGGTTCCGTAGGTGCAAGTCCTGCGATAAATCAGGTAGACGTACTGGAATTGATGCCTTAGATACATAATTGTACCTGTAGTAGTATCTGAAGAGGTAAATAGTGTTAAGTGACATAGGACAGAGTTTTACAGTTCTGCAAGATACTGCAAAAATGCTTTTTGCTGCAAGAAAACAAGTCTCTACCTGATAAGTAGTGAGTTACAGAGTACGTTCTATTTAGGACCGTTTCCATCTTAGCAGTGAAGTATAACAAAGATGAGAGATGTGTAGTATTGCTCTTCCCTTTAAAAAAAAGTGTGTCTTGAAACGTTATTTTTCCAGGAGGAATGAGCTCTCTTCAGACCTTGTTAAATATTATTTTTGGTTGTTGTTTTTAATCCTATGCTAAATAAAGTGGTCTTTCTCACACACTGAAGTTTACGCCAATTTGAGTTTTCTGTCACTACTTACACGTTTTCAGGATTTTGAAAACAATGGACATTTACACAGAATCAGTTTTGATGTATCAGTAGTTGAAAAGTGCTGTTGTACATTTGCATAAGCTATTTTAAATCTCCAATGGGTTAGAAGCAAGTCTCAATCCTTCCCAAGAGTCCAAATCTATCACTGTTATCATCTTTGTAGACTTTGCAGGCAATGCTCAGAATTCATGGAACACACTGATTCAATAGTAAACATTGCTTGAATTGTGAGTAGTTCAGCCTATTTAAAGCTATTGTATAATAATATACAATACTGCTGTATGTAGTGCTGCAAACAGGACATTTACTATAATAGGTGAAAATCAAAATTATTCACGTAATCTGTCCTTGGAAAAGTTAGTAATGTAGGGATTTATCTTAGTTGGTTTAAAAAATGTAACTGCATTTTATTAAGCAATGACAAAAGTTGAGGAATTTAGTAAGAAATGACAAGAAATTAACAAGGCCACAAATGGTGAAAAATAGACACTACTTTTACTGTCAATGAGGTGGCCTGGCCATATTCATATTTTGAAGAAGAATGACAAGATCTTTCTTTGCTTTGAAACAGGAAATTGGTTTTAGAATTAAGGTGCTGGAGAGCAGAGTACACAAATAGGGCATCTTCTGTCTGATAGTCAAGAACAGGCTAAGGAAAAGCACGTGGTTTTCCCTACATGTCATTTATCCCTTTTCCAAATATCCAAATCACACAAATTACACAGACATATCAATTAGCAATAAATGTAATGTTCAGGGTTTTTTTTTTTCCTCCTCTCTTTGGTACTCACTCAGTAACTTGCTTTACTGCTGCATCTCAGTTGTGCTTCACCTGTTTTGGAAGTTGCTCTGCAATTGCTGCCCTTTGTGGAGTTGGAAGTACGCAGAGGGCTGCTGGACAGTGCTTGGGATCAGCGAAGACACTTGAGCTGGAGCCTCCTTCACTTAAAAGCAGCGATGCTGCTGACATGACACTTTCCTGCCTTTCCCTCGTGGCCTGTAGGGACCTGAGACGTCGGGGCATTCGAGGATGCAGGGTGATGTCCTCTGGCTCTCGAGGAGGGCAGGGCTCTTGAAGCGCAGGCCTCATACTTCTGCTGCTTTTCTCTAGATGTGTTTTGAAGGCTCTGAAAGTAGGATGTCCTTTTTCACATCCTGGATTCAAATAAAAATGCGGATAGCTTATTCTAGGTAGCTAAAATGCAGGTTTCAGCCTGTTAGTTGACAAAGCAGGATGAGGCTGTGCGGGCGTGCGGTACTGGTACATTTATGTGGGTGATAATACAGGGAATGTGAGAGCTGCTGAAATACGCCTGCTGCCTTGCCAACGTGATTTGATACAAGCTGGACTGACCGTTGGTTAAACCCTTGGTACAGCTGGCACAGCAGAAGCGCATCCCTGTGTATCCTCCCTTGTATCCTGCCTGTGTGGCCTACAGGGAAGGCGGCTGAGCAAGAGTCCTGGCCTACACGCCTGCCTTCCTCCATTGACAGGGACACTGCGCTGTTTCTGGAAGCCAGGCACCTTGTATATATGTTTGGGATTGCTGCCTTGGTTTTCTGACCCTAAAGGACATTACTGATAGCAAAAGATACTTCTTTCCTTAATGACATTGTCTGGAGCTGGAGACCTTTGGTGGAAGCTGCCTATACATGCTCAATTTTATCCATCATAGTGTGCTGAGTGACACTCACTCTCAGCAGTATGAACTTTTCCTATGTTTATGCCGTCCTTATTTATATTAGTGTTGATCAATAAAGTGTAGCATCCTTTGCTGTGAAGCTGCATGCCTGTCCACTCCATCCTGAAGTAAACAGCTTGGAAATGGTTTGGATTGGTCTTTGTCAGCAATCTTTGTTCTGTCCCATCAGCCTTCACCTCTGTGTTTAAAGGTCAGGCCAGGCAAAACTTGACAGTCCTGCCACGGGAAAGAGGCCACAATGTAGAGGACATGGGGCAGCAGACAAGAGGCCCTCATGTCACAGCAGTGCAGACAAGAACCTGGCTCACTGACTTCTCTAGTGCTTATTTCCTCCAGCACACAGAACATTTGCTTGAGGGGGCTGAACCTACATACAAGGATTTCGTCTCTTCTGAAACAATTTGGGCTGTATGCCCTAGAAGGAGGAAGCCATTACACAAACGTGGAATTCCACACCTTCAGCACCTCTTGGGTCATGTAAGTTATTCCTATACCATAAGCTGTTTATGTAGCCTTGTGGAGAAGCAAGCACCTGAAAAAGCTGTGGCAGCCTGTCCTAAGAAATACATTTAATAGGCGGTATGGATGATAACCCCTTTAGGTTGACGGCTACTATAGACCTTTCAGATAACAAACCTTAAGTGAGATGAATTCAGCATCTCCCTAAGGGTTGCGTGCTCTACCTGGGTAGTTCATGAAGGCTCTCCTCCCGGTCTGCCCATAGCAGTTGTTACTGGTGGGGGCTGCTCTGTCTGTTGGTACCAATTCACCCTCGGCTTTGCCTTTCAGCTCCACACGTAGCTTAAGCTGTTCCCAGGTGTGCTGCTGACACCAGAGGTGGTCCAGGCCTTCCTCTTCTTTGCTGTGCTGTACCACTAGTTCTGCCACTTGATGCAGCGCAAAGATTAACACTACACAAAAAGCTGTTTCCTGGCCATTGTGAGGGGGGAAACACACTGATCTTTTGAGGTCAGTGCAGATTTAGATCAAGCGCCTCAAGAAGCTGCCCTGTTGCAGATGTTGTTTGGTAGGTGGCAGGCCATCAGGTTCCTGGGCTAGCAGTTGGGGCATGCCCCAAGACAAATTTTGAAGATGTCCAGTGGGACTTTTTATCTGTCTTCATGGTCACCCTGAAGCTACTTAAATAGCTGTCAAGCAATTGCTTGTGGTGACCACGTGCCATTTTGTAAGCTGTGAAAGCGAGGGGTGCTTGGAATTGCCAGAAGTCAGGAAGAGGATGGTTATTCCACTCATGCCCTCAGTTGTCATGAGGGTGTTTGTCCTTCAGGAGGAGGGCATTATGTTACTGCATGCAAGTGTGTAGGAGTGATGTATTTTGGTAGTTTTGTGGTGGTAAATAGTTATTGTGACAGCTGTAGGGATACTGTGCAGTAGGTTATGTCAGTAACCACCCTTGTGGGGATGGGGCAGGCTCAAAGAGCGTGTGCAGGTGCTGTTGCCAAGGCAGTCAGCAACCCCGCTTGTGCAATTGAATTAAAAAAAATACTTTTTTTTTTTTTTTCCCCCAAGCATTAATGCTAATGCAAATTAAATTTCAACTGCAAGACAGTTTTATTCTGGGTTGGCTTCGCTGATCATTTCTGTAGGTTGACTTTGCCTAACTTAACTGCCTGTACAAATGCTCCTTTCAGCTGCAACACGTTAATTCAACGTACTCCTCTAAAAGCCAAGGAAATAAGGGCAGGCTTCTAATGGCTTTATTTCTTCTGCCAAATCTTTTAATCTGTTTATCTTATTCGGGCACTTGATTAAAAAAGAAAGAGGTTTATATAAAAAAGAAGACATATAAAACATAACAGTTATAATTGCAGCTATACTGTTAGATGTGGAGCTACATTTAGAATTTCCTGACTTATTAGTGGCAATTGTACTTAAGGATGCTTCTGACTAAAAATAGAACAGAGGTTTTCTTAATTAACCAACACTTTTCATATAATGTAAATTACTTCTATTTTGTCTATAAAGCATGTCTTAAATGTATTAGTGGCAAATACTGACAGACACTAAGCTTTCTTGTATGGCACTGTAATCCACTTCAAGCAGATAATGGTGGTATTTATTTCTGCCATTTTTTGGTCCATTTTTTTAAGATGCAAGTCTGTAAGATGTAGAACTTGTTTTCTGAAACTGAAGACATTAGGAGACATATGCCATTTCTGAAACAAATCTGAGTAATAATGACCTAGTAATCATAGGGTTATGGAACCAGGAGTGTGGAAGGGAACTCATCTCTTACCTCAGGACTACTTTACTTAGGCCTGTTTCATTCCTAACATGTTTATCCAACTTTATTTTAAAACTTCCCCTTCCATTTCACATCTTGATTTTTCAAAATACAGTGGCTGTCCTGAGGTTTTTGTCACGAACAGTGTGGAGGGGGGTTGTTATGAACTCTGAGCCTCATGTTCCGTGTCTGTCATA